ATTGCCAATCAATTTCTTGACCTCATCCTTCAGGGCCTCGTACTTTTCTGGATTGAGAGCTTTTCGTTTTTGCCTGTAAGCTACAACCTTTGGATCGATGTTTAAATGATGGCAACTGTCCTTAGGATCGATGCCTACCACATGCCATGCTTCCGTCGAAAACATCAAGGTTTTTAATCAAGAAGTTTTTCAATTCCTCCTTCATTTCAGGCGTCTTGACAAATCCATGAGGTCAGTTGGGAAGGTTTCCAATTCTTCCATTGGGGCTATTTTGGGCTCACAGTCAATGATGTGAGGATCTAGTTCCTCCAGGTAAGTTGTTCCTTCATCTGTTACCCCTTCTTCAGGAGCCTCACATGAGTACATCTTCCCCTTGTGCAGGGGCACTCCCTTGCTCGTGGAGGTCATCCATGTCGATGTCAGCAAAGATGACGTTAGAGGTTCTTGGTTCTGCCTTCCTTAAGGAGTTGGAGTAGCATTCTCTGGATCCTCGTTGATCACCTCGGACTGTGACAACACCATTTTCAGTAGGAAATTTCATGCACAAGTTAATCGAGGTTACTGCCCATAATTCCTTCAAGGCGGGTCTTCCAAGCACCCCATGGTAAGCAGATCGGTTGTCAACTACAAGAAATTCCATGAAATGTCAAGGAATCAGAGGTTCGGCTCCCATTTCCATTGCTAACGTGATTTTTCTCATTGGGATGAGCTATCTCTCTAAACCCAAACAAGGGAAAATTTATTGGAGTTAGCTCATGCAATCTTCATTTTATCAAACATGGTACCAAATATGATATTGACTGAGCTGCCGTTGTCCACCAACATCCTTTTCAGGCTATTGCGGGCAACAATAGTCCTTTTCAGGCTACTACGGCATCACAGTGTGGGTAATGCACTCCTAGCGTATCATTCTGGGTAAAAGTGATTGGTGGAGTGGCTTTTCCAGTTGGAGATTGATTCACTATATAACTTTTCATGATTGGGTCACATGCTTCTTGGGCATAGTTTCTTTCTGAATTTCTGGACTCCCCACCTACATGAGGTCCTCCGATGATTGTATCGATCTCCCTGACTAGGTCCTGTTTGCTATTTAGAGGGGGGCTTTTCATTTGCCTTTGGCCATCCCTATGCCTCTCACTGTCATTCTCCCTTCCTCTTATAGGGTCGTTAGGCCGATGTTGTTCATTGCTTCCAGGGTATTGGTTCGGCCTATATGGGGTATTCTTCGGGGGACATCTTCCCCCTGTTTTCTTTTGGTTCTGGGAGTTTCTTTTGACGTCCCAGCAGTCCTCCGTGTAGTGACCATGGGATTGATGGTAGGAGCAATAATTGAGGGCTCCGTCCCTATTTCTAGGTTCAGCACCTCCTCCCTTACCTCGGCTCTTTTCTGGGGTCGTTTGTAAGCTTGTCGTTGATACATTTCAACACCAAGATCTACTTCCTCATATGCTAAAGTTGGTACTGCATTGAGTGTTGATACAGCAAACTCTTGCCCGTGGTTTAGTGGAGCCTGGTAGTCCATTAAATGGGAATTTGGGCCTTTCTCTCTTTGCATTTGATGAGGTGGGAGACCTCGATTTGCCCTATTCATGTGATCTTTTAACTCTTCGTTCAGGATCTCGCACCTTACCATTTCCAATAGGGCATTGTAGGTGGTTGGATCTTTGTTTTGCACATCCCTCCAAAAGAGGAAGTTCATATTCAATCCTCCTCTCAAGGCAGTTAATGCTTCCCTATCTGTGACTTGCACATAGTAGGTCATCTCATCCTTGAATTGAGATAAGAAACTTTTCAGTGCCTCGCCCTGTTGCTACCGCATGTCCTGAAGTCGTTGGATAGGTCTATCTCCTTCCTTGCTGGTCGTGAAGCGTTTGAGGAATGTCTTTTTCATGTCGGCCAACTTCGGATGCTTCCTTCTGGCAGTCTTGTATACCAGACTTCGGCACCTCCACTTAATGTTAAGTGGAAGGCCTTGCATTTTGTTGTTGGGGTGGCCTCCTTCAAATTCATGTGGGTTTTGTAGTAGTTCATATGTTTTGCAGGATCACCTCTCCCATCATACTTCAAGATTTTAGGGAGTGCGAAATAGTTCAGCATGGGAGCATTTCTTATAGCCTCTGAGAAGGGAGACTAGTCATCGTCATCGTCGAGGTTACAGGACTTCTGGGGCCAATCTGAATCTCCATCCTCTCCTTGGGGGACCTGGGAGCTGAGAGGTTCTTGCCTCATTCCTAGCATGGTTCCTCCTTTCTCGCCTATTTCTAGGAAGTTGGAGAGAAAGCTCTTCGTGGTACATTGGCTGATTCTCATATTGATGAGGCTTCCTAGCCATTGTAGGTGGAGGATAAGCTGGTCTATTTCTAGGTGCTTGGGCTGATCTTGCCTATTTCTAGGCGCCCCTGTTGTAATACCCAGACCAGGAAAGCTTAAATGATTTGATAGGTACTACTNAAGTGGGACCCGGGTCGTTACACCTGTGTTTATCATGTCAAAAATACTCCCAGATCTCTGAGGTCGGCTTTCTTAAATAGAGGGTTGTTGAATGGAGCTTCATATGGCCTCTCTGAAGCGTAGTTAGTCGATCTATCTATTTCGGCTTCTTCTTCGTGAGGAGACCCCATTCCATCGTGTTGAGGTTTAGCCATTTGACTCTGGACTTCTTCCTCCTGATAATATCCTTGTGCCTTGGGGAAGACGTCCTCTGGGGCTGTATATTGAGGAACTTGGTATCCTCTTTGCCCTTGCATGTTCATTAGCATTTTCTGCATGGCCAGGTTCTGTTGCGTAATGTCCCTCATGTTGGCGGCCATAGTGGCCATCTCTGTTGTAAGTCTAGCGACGCCCCTGTCCCCACCTCTGGATACTCCTCGCCTTCGTACAGAGGTCGTGGTCGAGGATCAGGGGCAGTTCGTAAGGGTTCCTCTTCTTCAGGGTATTCCCTCATCCTTCTTGGGGCATGTTCGTCAGTTGAACTCATTTCCCAAACTACTCGTTATGACTTCCCTTTGTTCAAGGATTCTAAGTTCCTTTTTGTTCCTCTTTTTCAAGGACTCTCCTTTCTCAAGGGTAAGGACTTTGCTTCAGACTTTCAGATTCAGCCTGGCTTTCGTTTCACGTGTTTTTTTGTGATTAACCGTATGGTTTCTCACATACGGAGCCAATCTGTTGACCCCAAAAATTGAACTCAACAGATGTCGGACCCACTCTTACCACGTCAAGTACTAATTCGGCATGTTTCTACCGAAATAGGAATTGTAGTTTGACTGCAATGAACGTGGGAGGCACTTTCCGGCGAGGGACAAAAATGTGCGGGCTCCGGTGGTGTGATTCGAAGGCGATCACGTTATCAATGATCACCAAACCGAGAGAATCGAGATAAATATCTTCTTTGTAATAGAATATGTGGAAGGAAAGATATGATAAGTAAATATCTCACTTCCTTGTAAGAACTCAAGTGTTTGTATGAATATGAGATTGTCTATTTTTGTATTAATCAATCCGTCCTCAACCGAGTTACAAGAATGACCTATTTATACTATTTTGGCCAACGTGGTTACCGTTAGATCAGAACCACGTGGCTTGATCTCCTTTATTGGGACGTCGCCTTGCTGTCTGTTTCACGCATTTAATAGGTTGACAAAAGGTCAGCCGCCCTATACAATAGACTGATATACTGACAACTTTATTAAAAGTGTTATATTAATCACTTCTAAAAGATCTTCAAATCTATTACAAGGAGACAATGTCGGACTAGTGGGCCTTGGACGTCGTTAAAGAACATCGTTTGGTCCTAACCTATTTGTGAAGAGGTGTGTCAGACTGGACTTCATCATGCTATGTGATAGCCTCATTCGTTATGTTAAGGACCTCAGCCAACTGCCTTATAGGCATGTTTGACCTGCTGGGTCTCGTATTTGACTTCCCGTTGACTTTTCTGCTTACGTGGCTTGCCACGAGGCTTTGCTTCTTTATACTTCGAAATCGAGGGGTAAAAAATACTATTAAATTACGTAAAATATTTAATTTTTTAATATTCATTTCTTAATACAATAAAAAAATGGCTAAATAAAAAAAAAGTGGTTGGGCCGGCTATTAGACAACATAGCAGCCTGGGCGGACCGCTGTGTTTGACAGCCAGTCGCCGAAAATCGCCATTTTCGACGATTTCAAGCTCAAAAATCACATTTCAACATCTACAAACACCAAATCTTCTCCCCTATCACTATTATTCATGCCGATCTACCCATATATTGAAGAGATAAACTCGAAACATGTCACAATAATTCGAACAAAATTCACCAAAAAAGTCAACTGTTAATCACAAAAAACTAACCTCTCCTTCGTCGGTGACGGAGTCCTCTTCGTGGTTGTTGGCGTCGATCTCTATCTCGTCGATTTCGTCGGTGTTTGGTTGTTCGGTTTTTGTCTTTTTGTTTTGGTCGGTTCTCTCTCTCTCTCTCTTGCCTTTAAGCCATCGGTTTTGCATGTTTTTGGACGGATTTGAGGGTATTTTTGACAAAGCAGTGTGTTTTCTCCTTTTTGGCTTTTTTTTTTTTAATATTTATTTACTGGTCAAAGGCCATTTCAGAAAGGGTTGTGCTTCTTGTACATCAAAGTGTACATCAGGGTGTCCATAATGGACACCCGGCACCTCCTCATTGGAGGGAGTGTTGATGGGACTTTGATGTACCTTTAGCATTTTCCTTTCAGAAATATGGTTGTTTACCAAGCCATTCACATGTATTTCCTACTGCATTAATATAACGTCCAAAAAAGGTCATTGAAAATTGTTGCCATAAATAATTAGTTAGATTCTTGTGGAAGAAAATGCTTGGCATGATGTCAAACTACATTTCCATGCAGCTTCCTGCAACAGAAAACACATCTGATCTGTACTTTCCTCCACAACTTTTTCTCTCCTTCTTCTCAACTTCCTCCTCTTATAACATTATATAATCCCTTCATTTCTCGAGAGTTTTCGAAGAGTTTCAGTTTCCGTAATGGCGACGAAAAGTGAGGTTGTGTTTGAAGATTTTTTCCCATCAATGGTTGAGAAACTTGGCGCAGATGGGTTCGTGAACGAGCTGTGTAATGGGTTTCGCTTGTTGATGGATCCTGAGAAGAGAGTTATTACATTCGAGAGCTTGAAGAAGAATTCTGCAGTTTTAGGGTTGCAGGAAATGAATGATTCTGATTTGGTTTGCATGCTGGACGAAGGCGATCTGGACGGTGATGGGTGTTTGAATCAGATAGAGTTTTGTGTTCTTATGTTTAGATTGAGTCCTGATTTGATGAAAAGATCAAGAATGATTTTTGAGGCTTTCCTGTAAATTGATGAATTTCATGAGATTTTTCGTTCATCAATATATTATATCATGTCGATCAAAATGTTTGAATGAGTTTGTTTATTATTATAATATTATAGTAAGGTTAAGCATCTAGATTCTATGTTTCATTTAACTAATAAAAAGAAAGAAAACTTTTATGAATATTGCGCAATAGTGTTAAATTTTCTCTAAAGTTGGTAGTAGATTACTGAGCCCAGTCACGAATCCAGGATATTAACTCTATGTTTGGCATTCATTCTCTTTCATTTTTTTATTTTTTTTTTCTCTTTTTTCATTTCAATTATCCATTTTCTAAATAAAATAATATTACAATCAAATCTAAAACTTTCATCACTTTTTCTTCACACATTCTCCCATCAATCACTATTCCAAAATTTCTATTTTCATTAAAATGGGTGTCAAACACTCACTAAATTAGTTAGGGCGGTCACTTATGGCCTCAATAATAAGTTTGTTTATTAATATTTCATTAAAAAATGTTTAAAAAATTTCAATCAATATATAAATGCACTAAAACGTAAAAAAGTCATATACATTTGAAAATATACCCCAATACAACCTAAAATGATAAGGAAAAA